CAAGCTTCTAACAAACACCATAGAAATTTTGGGACATGTCCTTGTTAAGAGTCAGAATAACAGGATATTCTCACTGTGGCTAGTGTTTAACATACATTGTACACAAATCCTGACTAATGCTTTATTAAAAAATAAAAGGAAAGAAGGTGTGTAAAGACTAGAAGGGAACAAAAAAGCTTTCAATATTTGAACACAATGTAACTATATACCCAGTAAAACCACTGGAATGAACAAACCATAAGAACAAATTGTAAGAGATATCAGCAAGGTCCCCAGTTACAAGAGTAACCTACAAAAATCATTTCCATTTCTCTACAACAACAGTAAGCGTTTTAGAAACACAAAATGTGATTAAAACACCAGTCACAATCCCAACAAAATCTAGAAATCATCTTGGAACCAGCAAATAAGAAAACATAAAATCCTGTGAAGAAAAAAAAAAAGTCTAATAAAGCCCCTAAAAAGGATGATCGGAATAAAAGCAAAGACATGCTGTGCTCTTGGTTGGGGTGATTAAATGTTATACAGATGTCAATACCTCACAAATAACTTATAGATTCAGCACAATTGCAAGCAAATTTCTATTTGGATCATTTTATTTTTAAAACATATTTTATTTATTTATTTTTAGAGCGATGGGGAAAGGAGGGAAAAAGAGAGGGAGAGAAACATTGATGTGCCAGAGAAACAACACCTCTCACACACCTCCAGCCTGAGACCTGACCTGCAACCCAGGCATGTGCCCTGCCTGGGAATCAAACCAGCGACCCTTTGATTCACAGGCTGGCCCTCAACCACTGAGCCACACCAGCCAGGGAAGATTTGTCAGAATTCTTTAAATATTCTAGCTTTTTAGTTGTTTCTTTGGGGTTTCTAACTTACCTTTTAATTGAGCAGAGTGAAGTTCAGATTTATACTAGCTCAATTCCAATGAGAACAAATTGTTATTCCTAAACAACTCTGTTCCCTTTACTCTCTCTTTACGTGATATTATTGTTACACGTACTGATGTTACAGATTGAAGAACACATGGTGATCATTAATACTTTACCATCTGTAGTCTCTCCCTTAGGTTTACTCACACCTGCCTCCTTTGTGCTATTGTGGATAAATACTTACAAAAACATTACATTCCTGTATCTTGTAGTCTCAACAATAAATTATATACACATTATTTTCTAAAATTGCTTTTTAAAATAGATTTTATTTATTTCATTCTTAGACTGAGGGGAAGGGAGGGAAAAAGAGAGGCAGAGAAACATTAATGTGTGGTTGCCTCTAGTGCGCCCCCTACTGGGGAGCTGGCCTGGGGCAGGCATGTGCCCTGACTGGGAATTGAACTAGTGACCTCTTGGTTCATAGGCTGGAACTCAATCTACTGAGCCACACTAGTCAGGGCTACAATTGCTTTTAAAATCAGCTAAGAGAATAAAGGAGAAAAATGGTGTTTGTATACTGTCTTTATAATACCATCATAACCTTTGCTAATTTTGTTTTTTCCTTGTGGATTTCCACTAGCCCCTGTAGTCCCATTGCTTTCAGCCTGAAAAATGTTTTTAAAAGAATTTTTTGTAAAGCAGGTCTGCTAGCATCAAACTCTCTCAATTTTTGCCTATCTGGGCATGTCTTTATTTTGCCTTCAGTTCTGAAAGACAGCCTTGCCAGGTACAGGATTCTTGGTTGACACATTTATTCTTTGAGCACTCGAAGTGCGTTATTCCAGTGCCTTCTGGCCTCCATCCTTTCTGCTGAGAAGTCAGCTATTTATCTTATTGGGGTTCCTTAGCAAGTAAAAAGCCATTTTTCTCTTTCTGCTTTCAATATCATCTCCTTGTCCTTGACTCTCAATATTTTTACGACGACGTGTCTGACTGTGGTTCTCTTTGTGTTGGTCCTATCTGAGTTCATTGACCCTCATAGATGTGTAGGGAGGTGAGTGTAATAAATGTGGAAAGTTTTCAGCCATTACTTATTCAATTCTCTATTTATCTATACACACACACATTCATTCTTCTGGTACTTTCATGCCATATATGTTTGCTGCTTAATGGTGTCAACAACATGAATAGTATCTGCTAGAGACCTTCTATGTTTGGGTTCAATATATAAAAACAAAATGGCTAGAGGAAAAGTATCATCTATTCTCTACATTGATTCTTTTAGCTCTCCTGTGTTTTAAAATACTTGAAGTAAAAGGGTTGCAAGGGAATTTTGGGGTGGTGGTCACACAACATATATGTTTGTCAAAACCCTAGAACTACACCGACAAAGGGAGAATTCTTGTATGCAGATAACGCCTGAATTTTCAAAATACTTAGTTTAGCAGAGTGGTGCAGCGGAAGCATGCTGGGACCATAAAAATACTTAGTTTTTTTCCATTTTTTCCTTGTATTAAGGATACAGGTTTGACAGCCTGAAATTTAAAAGCTCTTTGTAGAAAAAACAGCTCATGCTAAAATAAAAGTGAAGAAACTGACTTGAACAAAATTGTACTTCATGTGACAGAAATCACACTAATAATCTCTTCACGTCAAGTGACAGAAAAGGGAACAAACCTCTTGGATTCCAGGAAGCCAGTGGGCAAAAGATAGGAAGAAACAGTTCATAAAAGAGGGGATGTTGAGACTTCCGCCAAGATGCAGGCGTAGGTGGAAGCACTTTACCTTCTCACACAACCAAGTTTAAAAACAACAAAGTTTTAGCAACAAAAATGCAGCCAAACCACAGAAAATTGAACTACACGGAAGTCCGACAACAACGAACCCTTCAGCCAAACCGGTAAGAGGGGCAGAGCCAGAGAAGAGTGGGGTCAGGCAGGAGAGATCCACCGGACTGACCCAGGCGCACAACCCAGGCGGGCCGGCAGCCATAGGCAGATCCCAGGTGTGAAGTAGCGGGCGGACCCACTGAGGGTGCAAGGCAGTGGACTCACTGAGGGCTGACCACGCCATAAACCGGTGAAGGAGCGAAACGGTGAAACAGACCGTGCAGGTCCCAGTGGTGGAAAGTGGCAGAGGGGACCGCCATTGTCCCTCTCTGACCCCGCCCCCACATACAGCGTCACAAACCAGCAACCTGGGTGGCCCCGCCCTGGTGAACACCTCCTCGTAGGTAACAGGCACGAACAGATCAAAACGTGGCTCAAGAACAACTCAGAGCCCCAGAGCCGATAAATTTAAGCGATGAAGAAATAGCTAAACTTTCAGATGCCCAGTTCAAAACACTGGTGATCAGGATGCTCACAGAACTGGTTGATTTTGGTCACAAATTAGAGGAACATATGAAGGCTAAACTAATAGAAATGAAGGGAATTGCATAGGAAATCAATAGAAATGGATAGGAAACTGGGACTCAAATCAAAGGAGTGGACCAGAAAGAGGAAAAAAATGACCACACAGAAAAGGATGAAGAAACAAGAATTCAAAAAAATGAAGAGAGGCTTAGGAACCTCCAGGACATCTTTAAATGCTCCAACATCCTAATTATAGGGGTACCAAAAGGGGAAGAGGAACAGCCATGAGTAGAAAACTTATTTGAACAAATAATAAGGGAGAATTTCCCCAATCTGGTAAAGGAAATAGACTTCCAGGAAATCCAGGAAGCTCAGAGAGTCCCAAAGAAGTTGGACCCCAAGAAGGAACATACCAAGGCACATCATAATTACATTAGCCAAGATTAAAATGAAAGAGAATTCTAGAAGCAGCAAGAGCTAAGGGGACAGTCACCTACAAAGGAGTCCCCATCAGACTGTCAGCGGATTCTTCAAAAGAGACCTTACAGGCAAGAAGGGGCTGGAAAGAAGTATTCCAAGTCATGAAATCCAAAGACTTACATCCAAGATTACTCTATCCAGCAAAGCTTTCATTTAGAATGGAAGGACAGATAAAGTGCTTCTCAGATAAGATCAAATTCAAGGAGTTCATCATCACCAAGCCCTTATTATATGAAATGTTAAAGGGGCTTATCTAAGAAAAAGAAGATAAAAAAAATGGATAGTGAAAGGACAGCAAACTCACAGTTATTAACAACCACACCTAAAACGAAAGCAAACTAAAAGGACAGCTAGATCAGGAGTGGAAACATAGAAATGAAGATCTCAAGGAAGGTTAGCAACAGGGGAGTGGGAGGAGGAGAAGGGAGGAGAAGGTACAGAAAATAAGTAGCATAGACAGTAGGTAGAAAATAGATTGGGGAGGGCAAGAATAGCATGGGAAATATAGAATCTAAAGGACTTGAGACACATGGTCATAAACTAAAGGGGGGGTAATGGTGGGGATGGGGGGGTAGGGTGGAGGGGAATGAAAGGGGGAATAGAACAACTGTAACAGCATATCAATAAAAAATTAAAAAATTAAAAAAAAATTTTTTTAAATCTGCCCTAGCTGGTGTGGCTCAGTGGATTGAGTGCTGGCCTGTGAACCAAAGGGTCTCTGGTTCGATTCCCAGTCAGGGCGCATGCCTGGGTTGCAGGCCAGGTCCCCAGTAGGGGTTGCATGAGAGGCAACCACACACTGATGTTTCTCTCCCTCTCTTTCTCTTTCCCTTCCTCTCTCTCTAAATTTAAATAAAGTCTTTACAAAAATAATAAACAAATAAATAAATACAATTTAAATCATGTTTTTCTTTTTTAGATTTCATTTATTTACTTTTAGGGAGAGGAAAAGGGAAGGAGAAAGAGATGGAGAGAAACATCAGTGCGCGGTTGCCTCTCATGCGCCCCCTACTGGAGAATCTGGCTTGTAATCCAGGCATGTGCCTGGATTGGGAATCGAACCAGTGACTTTTTCTTTTGCAGGCTGGCACTCAGTCCAGTGAGCCATACCCGCCAGGGCAATCCTTTTAATTTTTTTCATAGCTCTTGTAACCTTCTAAAGCAGGATTTTAAGGCTACATTTACTGCACATATAATGCTTCCCGTCCGACAGCTCCCACTAGGAGGTAAGTTCTGCGAGGACCCGTTTTATTCAAGGGCAGGACCTAGCGCAATACCACAGTGACTTATGCAGTAAGTGCTCAACAACCCTGGGCTGAGTGGAGAAATCAATAAAGGGGCCTTAGAGGGGCCACGAGCTCTGAAAGACAGTGCAAGGTGGACTGTGACTCTGCCTGTGGTCATCGCTCTTGTTCGAGAAAGACGAACCTCACCTCTGCTCCCAAATGCCAACCTGCGGAGGCGCAGCGTCTCCGCATGCTGACCACAGCCACCCTGTCTGTGTCCTTCGGGGTCGGCGTGGTGGACAAGGGGCTGGCGCTCCGGATGACTGACTGCCTTCCGCTTGTCCCACATTGCCACTACCACGTGGTTCTTCCACTTGGCCCTCGCCGACTTTGCAGTCCTGGTGTCCCTGCTTGTCTCCATCTAGAGCCTGGCCAGCGACCAGTGGCCTCTTGAGGACTTAGCCTGCAAGCTGTACATGCCCTTCACCTTCTTCACCAGCATCTGCCTCCTCATCCTCATCTCTGCGGACTGTTGTACACCCGTCCTGTACCCGAGCTGGGTCCGAACCGCCCCCGCACCGTGCAGCGAGCGAGCTGGCTGGCTGTCTGGGCGTGGCTCCTGGCTGCCAGCGTTTCCTCTCCGGATTCCAGGCCACTGAGGAACCGCAGGGGTGTAAGTACTGCTACTTCAAGTTCCGCACAGAAAACGAGGGTCAGGAAAGCTCCGGTGACTGGGGTCCCGTGACTTGCAAAAGGTACATGGCTGTGACCATCACTTACTTTGTGGTGAGCTTCTTGGTGCCCCTGGTGGTCATCCGCACCAAAGAGGTTGCTGCTGGTGTTGGTGAGCGCCTTCTTCACCTTGCAGTTCCTGTTTAACGTGGCACTCTTGGTCCACTTGGGGATGTGGAACCCTCATGACCCCAAAATGCTGCTTGTCCTCTGGGCTACCTTCTCCTTAGGCTGCCTCTACAGCTACCTCAACCCTTTCTTCTATGTCTTTTTTGTTTTTGTAAAGATTTTATGTATTTATCTTTAGAGGGGAAGGGAAGAAGAGAGAGAGAGAAATATCAATGTGTGGTTGCCTCTTGTGCATCCGCTGCTGGGAACTGGCCTGCAACCCAGGCACGTACCCTGACTGGGAATCAAACCGTGATCCTCTGGTTCGAAGGCCCGAGCTCAATCCACTGAGCTACACCAGCCAGGGCCTCCTCTACGTCTTTGTTGGCAGAGATTTCCAAAAAAAGTTTTTCCAGTCCCTGCCTTCTGCCCTGGCTGGGGCATTTGGTGGGGAGGGGTTTCTCATTCACTTTGCTCCCAAGGAGAAGTGTCCAGGGGATGATGGAGACATTCAGGTGGAAGCGGAAAATCCTCCTGCGTAGTTTGCAGCTCCTTTACAGGCTGGCTTCCAAGACCCTGCCAAATCTGGCCTCTTCTTTCAGGAAGTCCTCCTGGCAGCACTTCAGCTAAATCTCTGCATTACAGACACCTGATTATTTCCCTGTAACCATTCTACCCTTCCTTTATAGGAAGACTTCAAATAGAAGTCTTTGTGGTGAGCCAGGAAAAAAAAATGAAGTTTCCCAGTGTCCTTTGCAACCAGGTATAGTCATGTGAATACCTTCTGGTCCATAGGTGTGAGCAGAAGTAATCAATCTAACTTCTTTGAAGTGCCCTGGAATGGAAGGGGGTCTGTCCTATATCCCTCCCTTTCCATGGTCTAGAAGGCAAGTGTATCAGTTAACTTTTGCTGCATAACAAACACTCCAAAAACCTAGAGGCTTAAAACTGTTACCTTTTCTGATTTCGGTGGTCAGCAATTTGGGCTGGGCTCGGCTGAGCAGTTGCGAGTCTGGTCTGGGCTTCCTCATGCGCTCAGCTGAGTGACTCTGTGCTTCTGGGAGGGGTGACCGGGACCGTGGCAATTGACTTAGCCACGGAGCTCTCATCATCCTGCAGGTCAGCTAGGGGGGTGGTTGCGTGAGCATGAGCACTTGACACTTTGTTGCTAGGTTCAAAGGGTGGGGCAATGCATTTCACCTCTGATGGGGAAAAATTTTGCAAAGTGGCATCACCAAGGAGCACAGACACAGGAAGTATGCGGGGCTGGGGGCCATTTTTGCAATCTGCCACAGCATGTATGGTGGCGAGCGGCTTGGAAAGCTACTGTGTTCCCATCTCTGCCCGGGAATGTGTTAACCCTCGCTGTGAAGACAGAGATGTCAATTTGTAGCTCATTGAAGCCACTGTTATTTTGTATCTCTGTTAGAGCAGCTGAATCTTTCCCTCAACTATCCTGCTGCCAACCTCTGGAACTTGTGCAAGGTGACACAATAAATTTCCTTATTGTTGGAAGCTGTCCATTTGGAGTTGGGTTTTCTGTTACTTGAAACACACAGTAGCCCCACTGACACGTACAATAAACACTCCTTTCTGGGGATAGAATCCCAGTAGTCTGTGGTCACAATGACCGTTCCTTGGATTCTGGGTAGAGGCAAACAAACAAACACGTATTCAAAGCCAAAGCTACCACGTTGCTTGTTCATAAGCAGAAGAGGCAGCTCTGGCTCTGCTCTAATGCCCTGTGAGAATTCCCCTCAGAACCTCCGTTCTCTTGACCCTGTGCACCAGGTGCTTTCATGGTCCATGGGTGAGGAGAGGATGCAGTGATGCAAAGACTGAGTATCAGGAAGGATAGAGGCATGTTCGAAAGTCAGCTGGGAGCCTAGCCGGTGTGGCTTGGTTAGTGGAGCATTATCTGCAAACTGGAAGGTCACCAGTTTGATTCCGGTCAGGGCATGTGCCTGGGTTATAGTTTCCGTCCCCTGTATGGGGTATGACCTAAAGAAGGCAGCTAATCAATGTTTCTTTTCCTCTCTTTCTCCATCTCCTTCCCTCTCTCTAAAATAAAATTTTTAGGAAAAAAGTGAGCTGGAAGCCCTGGCCAGGTGGCTCAGTTGGTGGAACATCCTTTCATACACCTCAGGGTTGCAGGTTCAATTCCCAGTCAGGGCACATACCTAGGTTGGATCCCTGGTCAGGGAGCAGATGGGAGGCAACCAATCAACATTTCTCTCTCTCTCTCTAAAATCAATAAACATATTCTCTAATGAGGATTTAAAAAATAAGCTGGGAAAAGTGGTTTATTCAAAATCAAAACGTTAAAATAACGTAGGCTCGTGGTAAAGAGAAAATTATTTTTCCTATCCTTCCGGCCCTCTCATTCCAACTTCTTCTCCCTAGAGACTGCTAGTTTCTGGTGTATATTCTTTCGGATATCCTACCCATGCCTAAGTATTTTTGATGCAAAGAGAACATGCCTTATACATCATATTACATTGTGTGTGTGTGTGTGTGTGTGTGTGTGTGTTTACGAGGAGTACATCATGGAGGTGGTTGTGTATCAGTACCTAAGAGATCTGCCGCATTATTTTTCAGTGCGGGTGGCCGAGTATTTCCTCGTCTGAATGCACTGTGCTGAGTCCCCTACTAATGAGCATTCAGGTGGCTTTCAAACCTGCTGCGACGATATTTTTGAAGCGTCAAAAAATCATTCCCTCTAACCCACATCCCGAGCGATACGCAACGCAGAAGCGGAGGCATTTTTGACTTGTCAGAGGGAACACCCACGCATCTTAGCCAGGTCACAGGCCGGAACTCGGCCGGCCACCCCAACCGTCCCCATGCTCCTCCTCCAAAGAAAACATCCTGAATGTGATCGTGAACCTTCTCTTTTTTAGCCTTGTCTTTTTTTCCTGTCAAAATCTTCATGTGAAACATTGCAAACCTACAGTTCCTAGAATAATACAATAGACCTTTACACACACACACACACACACACCATGGCACACCCGCCATGATGAACAGACCCACTGGGATACTTGAGGTCTATGAAGAGGGAGCCCCACAATTGCCGTCCCTAAATGGGCCAATGGTTAGAGACACCTCCAGAGCATTTGGAACTTTTCAAAAGTAGTTGCAGACATCATATCATCCTGATTAAATTCTTTATGCTATGTCCCCTAAGACTAAGGCACAACCGTAATATTATTACCACCCTCAAGAACTTTAACATGGATATTAAGTAGTACTCAGTCTGCATTTAGATTTCCTAATTGTCCCAATAATGAACTCTATAACATTAAAAAAAAAAATCAAGCCCTGGCTGGTGTAGCTCAGTGGATTGAGTGCGGGCCTACGAGTCAAAGGATCGTGGTTCGATTCCCAGTCAGGGCACTTGCCTGGGTTGCAGGCCAGTTCCCAGCAGGGGACACACAAAAGGCAACCATACACTGATGTTTCTCTTCCTCTCTCCTGCCCTTCCCCTCTAGAGATAAATAAATAAAATCTTAAAAAAAAAAATCAAGAGCTGCCTGGCTGGTGTGGCTCAGTGGATTCAGTGCTGGCCTGCAAACAAAAGGGTTGCTGGTTCGATTCCCAGTCAGGGCACATGACTGGGTTGCAGGCCAGGTCCCCAGTAGGGGGGCGCACAAGAGGCAACCACACATTGATGTTTCTCTCCCTCTCTTCCTCTCTCCTTTACCTTTTCTCTAAAAATAAATAAAGTCTTTTTTAAAAAATCAAGAAGTTGTAATGACATTCTCTCACCACTCCCAAACATACACACACCCAAATGGACTAAGTAGTAGGTAAAAAACACACCACAGGTTGGTTCTTCTTTTTTTTTAAGATTTTATTTTATTTATTTATTTATCTTTAGAGGGAAAGGGAAGGAGAGAGGGAGAGAAACATCAATGTATGGTTGCCTTTCATGGGTCCCCTGCTGAGAACTTGCCTGCAGGGAACCAGCCTGCAACCCTGGCATGTGCCCTGACTGGGAATTGAACCGCAATTGTCTGGTTCACAGGCCCGGGCTCAATCCACTGAGCTACAGCAGCCAGGGTGGTTGGTTCTTCTTAAAACAGAAGTAATACAGGCCACATTCAAAATTAGATATTAATAACAAAGGATAATGGAAAACACTCAGATTGCCTTGGATATTTTTAAACACCCTTCTAAATAAATCCTGGGTTACACAAAGAATAAAACTGGTGTGCCACTTTATTTAGAGGTGAGCACACTACAGATCAGAAATTGACAGGTGGGGCCAAAGTTGTACTCTGAGGAAAATGTATAGCCTTAAAATGCTAATTAGGGAAAAAAAAAGTCCAAAAGGGGATGGGCAAAGCAAACAACTCAAGGGGCCAGAGGAAAACCAATAACCCCTGGCTGGTGTGCCTCAGTGGATTGAGTGTTGGCCTGCAGACCGAAGGGTTACTGGTTCAATTCCCAGTCAGGGAACATGCAGGCCAGGTCCCCAGTAGGGGGTGCATGAGAGGGGCATACTGGTGTTTCTCTTCCTCTTTCTCCTTCTCTTCCCAATCTCTAAAAATGAGTAAGTACAATCTTATTTAAAAAAAAAGAAAACCAATAAAATAAATGCTCAAAAGCTTGAAGAAAAGCATTGATAGATATTGAGGCAATTAACCAAAAAGGAAGTGGATAACGACAAGAAACTGGTTCTCTCCCTTTTTCTAACAATAATACCCTTTTATATTTGTGCTCCCATTCTTTCCTGAATACTCCCCAAAGGCAGGATGTCATGCTGGCCACTTATACCTGGGTAACATCAGTCAAGTTGCTTCCACCCTCTGTGCCCCAGTTCCCAACGGAATGAAATGGGGTAATAATAGCACCTCTCGCAAAGGGCGGCCTTACGAATTGCATGCATGATTGCTGGTGCTGGGAAGGCGCCATGTAAATGTTTGCTATTATCCGTATTCCCATCTGTTAAGATCCCTCCCAGGAGACCGGGCGAGGTCAGAGGGCCTGGTTCGCGTTGCCCAACCCTGCCAGAGGCGCTCCGCCAGGCTGTTTCTCACGCTTGGCCCAGAGCTGTCAGTCTCTTGGATTTTAGCCTTCCCTGAGGAGGATAGTGGGATCCTGGTGAGGTTTTAAATTTGCATTGATTTTCTAATGAAGGCGGTTAAGCAGTCTTCCCCGGAGACTTGCTGAGCTGGCTGCAGGATTCCCTTGGTGGGGGGAACAGGTGTGATTGGTAAGGCAGGCGTTGAGACCCAGCCCAGAAAGGGTGTGGTCCAGCCCCGCGCGGCACTCTCAGCCTTTCCCTGAGCAGCCTCTAGGAGAGAGGTTTGTGAAGGATGCCCTCCTAGACTTCGGATTCTTACTGGGCCAAATAGGGACTGCAAATCCTCCTCTAATAAGATTTTTATAAGAACCTACGAAAGTGACTCATTCCTTCAGTCTTCAAACCAAGGGCTGCTCACAGGTATGGATCACGTCCTGTGCCCTGGAGTCTTATCAATGTGCAGACTCCCCAAAGTAGCATTGCACAATTACTCTCATTGGACAGATGAGAAAA